AAAAAAAAAAAAAAAAAAAAAAAAAAAAAAAAAGAATTGTGTAATTAGTATAAATGGTAAAATTGTTGTGAAAAATTTTTGATTTTATAATCAGTTTCTGTATTTAAACTTAACGTCATTAACTTCAATAAGAAAAAAAATTGGTTTTTACTGATATAAATCTGTACATTACAGTTGTTATTTGGATTTAAAAAAAATTTATCTGCATTAAGAGCCATTTTTGACGTAATTTTTAAGGTTTTGGCTAACAGTTAGACGGGTTTTAAACTGGCTTAGCTAAATGTATTTTTTAGGTTTACTCTTATCCATAATGAAAAGGTATTATGAATATTGTGTAGTTCTTTTTGAAAGCAAACATATAACTTTTCCTTTTGCATTATTCTCTACAAATTAGACAACTTTAGTACCTTAGTGTAGTGCTGACAGCTGAGGATGAATTTATTGTTTAAAAATTTAGTATTTTTTTTTTGTATTTTATAAAAATATACTTATCACACGGATAGATGTAAACTTCATTTAACTAAGCTTTTTAATTTTGCCTACTAGTCAATTGGTTTTTTTCTTTTTTGATAATTTATTTGAGCTGATTTATTGCTAACAGCTTTATACTTTTCCATTGTGTTTTATTATTGTCATTATTATTATTATTTTTATTATTATTATTATTTCGTAATATCAGATTATTCATTAAACAAGTCGTTTTTTTCTTTTGACCAAAGATAATACTTTTAACTGTCCCAAATTTCGTCACAAAAACAAATTACTGATGTTACTTTCAATTTATTGTAAAAAGTGTGATTTTTTTGTACTTCTTTCAAGTGTAAAAAAAAAGAAATTTTTTTTTTTTTGGAAATTAATAGATGGAAAAAAGTTGTGCTTTAGACTTTGGTTTCTAAACCCAAATTGTATTTGAAGGTGTATTTTAAGCTGAAAAAAAAAGTAGTATTATGAAGAGGACAAAAAAAAGGAAATAAATTATTTAATGAGTAATCAAACATTACTATTATATAGTAACTATTACTGATCTTTGACTACATATAAAATGTTTTGCAGTTATCGTTGAATAATGAATAAAGTTGCTAATTATTTGTTGAAATTGCGAAAAAAAGAAAACAAAAAGAAAAGAAGCTGATTTTCACTGTTAACAGACTGCTGACTGATCTGTCGATATGAAGACAAATTACCTTCAATTACTTTACGTGGATACAAATAGATACCTATAAGACATTTCCAAATATATCTTTCATTCTTCAAATACTCAATTTTGATCTTTTACCGAATGTATCCAACAGCAGTCATAAAATAACTTTAATAACTTTGTACAGCGAATTTGTTATGATCTCTAGCGACATAACCTCTGCACATTTTTTAGATCTGCAGTAGCTGACAGTAGGTGGTTATTATAGTCTAAGAATGGTTCTTAGCTTTAGAAGCAAAGAAACAATTATCAAATAACAAGCATAAATTGTTGTTTTTCAACTGGAATGTGCATTTGATGTCGGAGATGTTGGTTCAATGTTATGTTAATGAGACTGGCCAAGATTACACCACTGATAGTATAACTTCAACAACTTTGATCGGTTATCATTATCAATTTGTTTGCATTCTTAATAACATACGGCATATTTCAACGTAATTTGAGAATCAAAAATAAACTGATAAAAGATGTTTAAAATTGTTACTTAATTGGATGATAATATCAATAGTCAAGGTTTGATAACCGAATCTGTTGTAAACACTCACTGATCTATTAATCCTTATCAATTTAATCAACTGTCAACGAATGCAAAACTGTTAAAGCAATAAGTATTTGGCAAAAAGCAACAACAGTTATATCCAATTCAACTTTTATTATAAATTTTTTCCTTAGTATTATAAACGTGAAAAAAAAGGGGGTTTAATATTACAATTGAATCAAAAAAATTAGTGGTAATTAGTAATAGTAAAAAACTGTTCTTTAGCGGATATCTATCAGCAGCAACGGCAGTAAAATGTTTATTTTTCACTTTAATTTACTATTCTTTCAAATTTCTTCTTTTATGTAGAAAAAAAGCATACAGTAAGTGCAACCAATGACTGAAATTAGTAAAGAATTGGACTTTAAAAAAAAGAAGTCGTGTTTTTTATACGTCTACTCTGTTATTTCTTTGTTTTAATTTGGTCAACAAATTTAGTGTTTTGTGTTTGATGATAAAACATATTTTGACGTATTTACATTCTTCAGATTTTTTTTGTTTCTTAGTAATAACTGATAGAAAAAATTAAATTTTTTTTATTTTGAAAACATAGATTACAGTATAAAAAAGGTCATTGTTTTACTTTTCTTTTTCTCTCTTTTAACAAAACTTTTATATAGGCATTCATTAGAGCTGAGAATCTAGTTTAATCTCTAAACTATTGTCCTCTAGCAGTTTTGGTGCTGATATTTGGTTGGAACAGTGATTTCTATTCAGCAACAAAAAAAACTGTATTATAGTTCATCTGAAAGTGATAAATTTGCTGTATCGTAGACTTATAGTCGATTTTCTTTCTGCTATGTTGCATTAATTAATTAATTATTTATTTATTTATTCATTTATTTATTTTTTTTACGAAAAGAAAAATTAATTATCATGATTAAAATTGATAATAAATTGCATATAACTGCGGGGAATTTTCTTCTTTTTGAAAATAAATATTTAAAAAGTAGCCTTAAAGTTGTCGCCTATGAAAATTTATTTCTGGCCAATTTTCTTCACTTATTTATTAGTTTTTTTTTTACATTATTTTAGTTCTTTAAAATGCATTAGTAAATTAAGCTTAAACTTGCACTGATATTTTTTTGTTTATTAATTTATCTAACTGTTTACTAGAATGATAGCTTATAATTTTATTGCTTTATACTTTTAATTTTTTTCCATTCAATGAATTGCTGTTATGAACAAAAAAAGAAAACAAGAAGGTCGATGACCAGTGAACATAATGACTCTGCAATATTTTTGATGCTTTATTATTACTCAAAAGTATCGCATAAAAGTTATTTGCAAATTTTTTATATTAAAACTTTTTTCTTCTTACTCTTTAATTTTTTATTCCACTGTTTTATAAACACAGAAAGAAAAAAAGAAAAATTAGATTGTTGCTATATTTGATTTATTTCTACTGATTATTGCGCAAATTTGATTTCACAGTTTATCAGTGTGCATACTGTTGATAAACGAAACCTTATCGACCGCAGAAATTTCTTGATTCCGCTCAGAAGCTGTTATATTCGATATCGTTGACAAACGTAAAATACCCGTAAAGATTTTACTCAATTTAAATTATTCTTTTTTTTAGCTTTTAGGTTACAGAATAATGTTAAACAAGCAGTTTTCTCTATTTTAGTTTTATTACCTATCAAATAGTTAGTAGTGCTGAATTCTTCATATTCAGTCAGTAGCTATTCACTGAGACTGATTGCAAAAAAGTTATTTATAGTCTTTTGTTTGTATGCCTAAACTTATCACCTTCAGTTCACTGAAAGTGACAAGGCGATATGAGGTATGGAGTGTGCAGGACGGGGAGTGGGGTAGACGTTGAAAAGCTGCCGATGTGTGGTTCTGTCATTTGGTAATTTGGATGGCGAGACATCGTTGACATCGTTAACTGTAGAATCAGTTAATTGTTATTTCAGAACTTTTTATTGTGTGCTACTAAAATTCAACTAAAAAAACTTATATCAGACGAGATTCTAGTTTTTACTTTTTTTCCCTCCCTAAAAGCAAGAAATCAGAATTGTATCCTAAAGCTTAAATTTTCTTCTTCACTGGTGTCTTCACGCCGTACACTTATGCAAATTATAACACTTTTTACTTTTTTTTTTTTCAGAACTTCTTTCAGTTTGTTAATGGAACAATTTAAGTTTTTGTTTTCGAAACTTTCTTCTGTAATATTAGTTCTGACGATTGTCATAACTTAGATAAATTCTGATGCAGATTTTTTCCAAGATTATACTTTCCCAATTGTAGCATGAGGCAGCAAAACAGAATTAGTGTAATAATTGTTCTTTTTGCAATAGTTCAACTTGGGTTTTTTACAACTTTTTCTTTTTTGCTTTAACACAGAGAAATCGCAGGTACAAATAAATCTTAAAGTCTGTTGTGGTCGATTAATCCGAATTAAGACAATAGTTATTTTCAGTTGATAAAGAAAAAAAAGAAAGCTGGTAACGCTGTATCAGTCAGAAACTCCTATAGACAAGTCGTAAAGCAGAACTTTTTTGATCGACTTCCGTCACTTGACAACAAGACCAAAGTATGAAGAAGTAGGTAGGATAGAAGCAAAAAATTGATGATCATTTACATTATAAACACTTTTTTACTTTACGGGGCAATAAAAACAACCAAAGACAATATGACTGTTTTTCAGTGATTAACATTAATTGTGCGTAAAGCAAAAAACAGAGTAAGTAACAATTTAAAGTTGTAAGAAAAAAGGCAAATTTGTTGTCACAATTAACAGTCAAAGATTTATGATGCAGGAAAACAATTAATTAAGTAAAAAAACTATTATTGTACAAACGCTTTAACGGCTTTCTTTTTTTTTTTTTTTTTGCTTTAGACTGAGAAATGGCAAAACAAAAAAAAAATATAGTTATTTTTGATACTTAAATTGCTTCATTTTCTTCTCAACAAATCAAATAGTTCTAAAACAAAACAAAAAAAAAACGATTATTACACAAGTTTTGTGTTTTTTTTTTTTTTTTTTGACTGAAATTGCTGTTGAAAAAGTTTGATGTTGGAAAAAAAATTAGTGTTCAGAATAAAAAATTGGATACAGACAGGCAATATGTCACTAAAATATTTATTGTAGCGTAATATTTTGCTTTATTTATTTATTTTTTTAATACTTCTAAAGGTTCTGTGTTTTTTATCTGAATATTAATATGCATTATCTGTAAAACTGCATTTCAAAAAAAACTCTAATTTTAAA